CTACTTTCACCTCCTCAATCAAGAGTTAATTCCCCAGCAGAGTAATGGACAACCGAAGCTCATAGACTCTACTTCCCAGGACATAAATCAAAATTCCTCGGCGAAGTCCTCCTCAACCGCAGGTTCAGGAATTCTCGCCAAGGAATCTCTTATGCAACTGATCTTTTCGGGATGGCATCTTTAAGCCCATCTCCGACGATTCTCCGTCGCCTTCCAAATGGCATTTGTAAGCCCATTCCCGATATCACCAATCAGCATTACTTCATGCGAGTGCAAATTTCTGGGCACTCTAGTGTTCAATCATCTTTCACCTTCAGATCACGAAAGGCAGACCAGCCAATCTACATCCTCGGACTTAAGAAGATTGAATAGGGGCAGCTGTTGTACCCTAAAATTTGCCCTCTCATTTCTCAAAGGATCATCCTGGACTCTCAGACTTGCTTCTATCAAGTTTCAAGTCTTAAATTACCACTTTTCAAGAAAATCATCCACAAGGGGAAATTGGTCAAAAGCATATTGAAAAGTCAAACTTGGACTTTTAGATCAAAAATCAAGTTTCAACAATTATATTTCATCAAGACATGAAATTGGTTCATAAAAAAATCACAAGTCAGAAGTTACTTTGAAAAAATCAAATTTCTAAACATTTAGAAAATTTTCTAAGTGGTAAGAGAATATGATACTTCAGAACTTCCGAGCCAGCCTTCACGCAAGTGCAGTCAGAAGTTGCAAACATGTTTCACAATATAGTTCTTCAATCAGAACATGACTCTTCAGTATATGGAGGTTACGTTTCTGATCTTCTGTGATCAGAACATTACCAAATCCCAAAACCTCGTTTAAGCAACCTGCTTCCCTGCTATATCACAATCCTGCAATCAGCTGCTGATCCATTCCACACCTGCACTTTCTCAAACCCCATATTTGCATCATATTAGCATACGAAAACTGTGATTAAAAAGCAATGAAACAATATACCAAAAAGGTTTGAATCCCATTTGTTTTCCCCCAAAAACCACAAGAAACCCATCTATAAATAATTTGCTCCATCACACGTTCAAGGGGCTGGCTTTTGGAGAGAGAAAATTGTAAAAAGAGAGAAAAGAAAATTGTGAAACCTTCATCAAAAATCCAATTCCCAAACAGAAAACCAAACCTTTATTCTTCCCTTTGAATCAAAGAACTTGGCATTTTCTCTTCCGTTGCTCTTGCTAACTCCAGAGCATCTGAAGGCAGCAGTTCAGGTTCCAAACACATGCTCCAGATTCAAGGTAAGTCTTTCTGACTTTGCATCTTCTCATTCAGAACATCATTAAATATGTAAATATCACCGTATTGATTTTATCCATATCATTGCATAAGTAGAAAAATTGTGGATCAGAACTTCTTGATTAGGGCTAGGCTCAAAACTAGGATTAGAACTTTTATAAACTGTTGTGCTTTTATCCTCCTGATTTGCTATTAAGGACTGAATAAATTGTTGATGTGCTAATTAATATGATGAAAAAGTTGAAATGTAACACATAACTGCTATTCTTCATTCACCATTTTTAACACAGAATTTCTAGAATGCTCACTCACTGTTTTAGCACAACACAGAACTTCTGAGTTCTCCCTACATGTTAAACACACAGAACTTCTAGGCTTTCTTAATGTTAAGCACACTGAACCTCTTATGCTTCTACTCGCTGTTTTAACACTCAGAATTTCTGATTTTTCACACGCTGACAACACACTGAATTTCTGATATTCACTCACTATTTTAGCACAGTTTAGAACTTCTGTCTTTTGGCTCACTGTCTGAATACCACCCAGAACCTCTGTTTCCTTTCCCTCTGACGTTTCTTGCAAGGCCTTAGAGTGTATCAATCTAGAACTTCTGATTCCACTGACGTTCCTTTCTGAGTCACAACGCGCCTGGCTTCAGAATTTCTGATCCTTGTTGTTTTGCTTGCAGCAGCATGTTGTTTCTCTTTCATTTATTTTCCTTTCTATCATTTTCAATATTAATTTCCTTTTTTATTAATATAAAAAATACATAAAAATATTTTTCTTTTATTAATTTATTTATTTCTTTTTTCTTAATTCATTAAGACACAAACAAAGCATTTTCTAAACAAGTCCTTTTTTCTCTCTTGCATTGTACATTTCAATATGGTTGTAATAGTTAAATAAGATTTAAATTCTTACAAACCATCATTTGTAAATATGTACCCCCCATCCCTAAAATATTGTAATAGCGTAGGACTTTTATATTTCCGCAATTTAACGCTTTTCCAAATATAAAATGCTAGTAATTAGGATGTGTATGACAAGATATGAAATCAACGAATAGATCACCCTAATAAAGACTAAAATGCATGCAATAAAACACACTTGCACACTAACTCCCTTAGGGTAATCCCACCTTGTTGTCTATCGGAAAAATAGTCATGTCCCTCGAACATGGGCGTTTTAGCAAAAGACCCTCGATAAAAGATCGTAGTCCCTCGATAACCCTCGATGTTGCCTTCGATAAACGATCTAGTCCCTAACACGACATTGCTAAAGCGTTCCATGGGTTTCCTTCTATGACTATACAAAAACGTCCCGCGCCCGTCCCTTCACATCCAACGATGAGGCTTCTTACCAAATCAATGGTAAGATAGCAACATCTAAAGGAGGGGGAAAAGAACATCTAAGACCTTTTAAGTAGGTAGATTCGCTCCTAGTTGCTCGCTTGCTCACAACAAAAACATTTTATACACCAACACATCTATTTGAACTATTTTCAAAACCAACACTTTGTACGCATTCTTATAGAGACGAGAATCATTACAAAGTCACATTTTTAAAATACTTTCAAAACCCACATCACAAAGCACATTTCAAAACAAAAGCAAGTGATATAGCAAGCAACTAAGAGCCCGTAGATAACTACGGATGAAAAGGGTGCTAACACCTTCCCTTTTCATAATCTACCCCCCTAACTCAAGAAAACATCGCTAAAGGTATTTTCTGTGCTTTTTCACCTTTCCTTATTGGATAAAAGAAAAGTCGGTGGCGACTCTTGCTATCCGCAACATTTGCGATCAAACGCAAAACACCCAAGTCAGTTCTCCCACTGTACCACACTCTACATGGTAGAGGAAAATAAATTTAGACGCAGGGGGTTTGAAGATAGAATAAAGAAATAGTAAAGCATTACTTTGGAAATTATATAGGAAGTCCAGGAGAAACAAACTCGTATGAACATCCAATAGGATGATTCGAGAAGCGGGAAAGAAACCACACCTAAAGGCCACATGTAAGCATTATAGATCGATTCGTCTTCTCGAGAAATATAATCATGAGGCACATTAAATGCCACATATGCATCTTCCTTTTTAATACTCAACCTAGTCAAATCAATGGATGTCACAACAATACTGACATGTTTCCCTAAACCTGCTAACACGCCTAAGCCACGTAGGTATCCATGAATTCGTGTATTCCACACATAGGGACTCACCTTCTACTTTAATTTCCCTACACTGAGGAACTCGCTAAAAGGAAGGTATCGTTTGACAATATCGTCCTCGGCCAGGGGAATCATCGACAAGGAGAATGGCTCATTCGGGAAAGGAGAATGGTTCTAAAACAATCCTCCTTTTTACATAAAAGTCCTTGTGCTTGAAGGACTTTGTAGTGTCCTATTTGTAGGATTCATATATTAGGGTGCCCACCGCCTAACAAATGGGTCGTCTGGATGAAACTCAACGTAGTCGCCCATGTGGTCTGCCCAACATGGTGCTGAATGAGAGAAATCTTTGTTGACTTAGAAAATATAGTCAGTCTATAATATCCCTAAAAAAGGAAGTCGTTAATACCATGTTCATCAAGAAGGCCATAAACCTAGATGTCATACCCTAATTTTTACCCCAAAGATCTTACCTTTATTTGCATCATTTTATAGCATCAAGATCACAAGTTGTGGTTGGCTCTTAACCCTCTCATCTTTGGGTTTGCCTGTACAGAGATCTCAAAACACCTTTTTTGTGTTCATCTCACTTTTATTCATCATTATTCCTCGTCAATAGAAAGTTGCAAGGTTCCCTTCTTCAAGGATTAAGAATTAGGGTTTCGATCCTTTTTGTTTGGGATTGATCAAGATATTCAATTGAGGTTGACTAAAGCCAGGGTTTTGTCTCTCTATGGAATTTTCCTTCATCGTTTGATATATTTTATCAATAATTTTTTTTACAAGACATAAAACTATACTCCATTTCATGATCTTGGATACAAATGTGATGAGTCTTCTAAGGCTCATTGTCATTGAGGTTTCTCAGGATCAATCAAAAGAGGTATTGCCTTGTTTTCATCACAAGACACTAGTGACATGAACCCATTTGGTCTCATCCTACATGTATTATTTATTGAAGTTGAGGATATTGAAGTAGGTTTTTGTCATGATTTATTAAGGATCTATATGGCTCAAGGGTGTTCGAATACCAATAGAATATCTCATAGTGAGAATCAATGCCATTGTTAAGAAGCATTGGAAAGTATCTTGACAAAACTTTGACCAAGATCCATTTTAATTCTTTTTTTTATGGATGTCATCATGAAAAGTAAGAAAAGCACCCAAGAGTGAGAGTTGTGAATTTTCATTCACATAGTTTCTTGGAATTCAAAAGATGAAACAAAAAGTCAAGACATTACAAGGCATAATGGTTCATGCAAGGGCATTTAGAAGAAAAGATGGTATTTAAATTCAACTTGGAAGAATACTTTTAAAAATTAAGAACTTGTCATTAAAATTAAGAGTTTACAAGGCTACATATTCAATATCATTCTATGTTCAAACACATTATTATCCAAACTTCTGCACTCTTTCAAGTTCTGAACAAGTTCATTCGCACCATGCCATTATTTTGAAAGGATTACATGACAAAGAGAGACATTAAAATTCCTAAGTATAATCCTATGCCTAATTACATCAATCCTAAACTTCAAGATTCATCTTCACTCCATGTTGGTAGCTAATCCATGACAAGCCAAATGTTCAATTGCAACCTGTCCAAATCGTGCCACATCCTTGGAAGAACATGCATCAGTCTTGCTATTGTTATGCTATTGTCCAAAATAGTCCAAACTCTTATTGTCCACTTTTCCCTACTTCTACTCAAACCTGCAAAAACCAGTCCTTTAACAATGCCAAAAACTTTCCAAAATGGCCAAATAATGACCTACATCAATAAAGTAAAAAATAGTACATAAAAAATGGCAAGCAAGAAAACTTAATAACTAATAATTAATCTCACCCTTTGATTTCTGATACCAACGTCCTCAAAAGCCAAGGGCTATGGTTCATTTATCTGACCTCACTCCCTCTATAAAACCAACCATTATTCACCTTCAAGGATGGATTTCTAAATTCATTGAAGAATCACTACAAACTCTCTCTTTGCTCCCTCTCATAACCAAATCTTCTCTTCTGCACATAACTTTCTGCTTATCTTCAACCATAACCTCAACCTTTTCCTTTATACACAACCTTAATCCTCTCTCACCATAATCCTTCATACAACCTTCAAAACCTACCACTGTCACCTTCAATTCACTTTCAATAATCCATCTTATTTCCCTTCTAAATCTCTTAAAAAAACATTACACCCTCACCCCTGTTCACATACTTGTAGAAAACTGATTCACATCAAACCTACATACCCTACAACCACACAACCTTAACCATTTCCCTGTATCAAAACCTTTCATATCTGTACCGTTCACCATCCCAACACAGAAGAAGAAGAACAACAATAATACAGAAAACGAAAAAAGAAGAAGAGGAAGTTGAAAAGTATATCGTGAGAAAATGAAAGATTCAAGAGCGTGATACCTGGAATATCTTCTACATCTTTGGTTTCGTGCTTCTCATCGCTGCCGTCAAAGACGCGTCAGACGAACTCTGACAGGTAAATTCTTGTATCCTTTTCCTTTTTCACTGTCATCACCGTTTAATCTAAGGAGGTATTGATGGAGTCGAAGTATTGAATTCGCGAAGAAAGTAAGATGAAATACAAAGTTTAGAAGGAAGAATTTGTTTGAATGAGCCGAGAGTCCCATGTTTACAACCCTAATCCGCTAACAGTTCGAACTTTTCAAATTTTTTTCTTTTAATTTTTAATTAATAATAATGTTGCAACAAAAAATCTGATGCTTGATTAGTCTTGAACAAAAGATGCAAAGAGTCTTGGGCCTCTGCCACTAATTTCCCCCTGAGCCCATGTTTTTTTTTTTAGAACCTGAAGAAGCTGGTATAAAAAAAACATTTTTTGGACTTACCTTGGCTGGGCTTAGCGCCCATTGTTTCTTTTACACCCTTCTCCCAGCTCGACGCCCCCATGGGTTCTTCATTTGAATTTCTTTTTTTTTTTGGTTTTATTTCTACTGTTTATTTTTGTTTTAATATTCCATAGCATGATAAAATAAATAATTTTAGAATTTTGCTTAAATTTTCTTTTAATATTTATTATTTCTTAACATAAACAAATCACAAAAATATTAGAGTAGATTAGAATTAGGTTTTTATTTCCTCTTGACTTTAATATCGTTTACTTTGATAAAAATCCCAAAAATATTACTTTCTTGTCTTTGTTGATTGTGTGGTTGATTTCTTGATCACTACTTTGGTCATATCTTTTCTCCTTTTAATTTTAGTCTTGTTTGATTTTATTTGAGGACTTGAAGCATGATGTTTATTTGATCTTGCATGTTTTATCTTGATTTATCTTGACACATTTTTCTTTGATTGATACTCGCCTATTATTGAGTTTGTGTATAATGATCCTCTTAAGGGTTTTATTTTGATTTTACCATGTTTAGATGTTTGGTGGCTTGCCTTATACACTTGTTTGATAATGACCTTTCTTGATTAACTTGAGGCATATGTCATATTCTCTTTACTTGATTCCTACTTGTGTTTGAAACTTGTCTTGTGTTTGAGTTTCATGATGCTTGATCTTTGGATGTCATACTTTTGTTTAGTCTTGACCCAATTGTTTTATGATTCTCATGTTGATAATGTGATGTCAATAGTGCTTATGCTAGGGTTTTCTCATAATACATTATTGGGTGTTATCCTTGATGATTGTTGTTTGATCACCTTGCCATGGGTTGATGAATTCTATTTTGTTGATGCTTGTGATTAAATCCAAGAGAAAGGGATTGTGTATGTTGACTTCTTGTCAAGTGTTTGTCTTTTGTGTGTTTGTTGTTTCTTTTATCCATATTCTCTTTGTTTTCACATTCGGTCTCCAAACCTTCATTTTCAAACTTACTTCTCTTTCAATAAAAAAAAATTGACTTAGGTTATTGCATTTTTAAATTTTCTTTCTTAATAAATGCTAAGACACCTTAAGCATCTCAAACTCTTTTCATAAGACTAATAAACACAAAAACTCATTCAAACTTTTTCCTCTTTTACTTTTCTTTTAAAACCTTTTCTCAGGGATTAGACACTAGTCATCTAATAGTTGAAATGTAATTCTCATATCCCCATTATATTGATTGAAAATATGTTGATTCTTTTCCACTTGAGAGAGTTAATGGTATACTTGTTGATTTTATATCCAAGTTGGAGCTCTTCTTTCATTGTGATGTAAAGATCTATCTTTCTCATGTGTGTGGTGGATTAGTTAAGTAGTCTTCTTAAGATGACGACTTGTCTCTTCTTCTAAAATCAATCAACAAACAAATTTTCAAACCTTTTTTTAGAAGAACTACGTGGTTCTGATTTCACCATTACACGTTGATGGTACGGAGGTTTGTTTGAAGAGCATTGATCCTAGGTGGGGATCAGAGTGCTGAACCTGATAGTTTATATCTTGGTACCACATGCATTAAGTCTATGTCATTGAATCTCATTGCATTGCATTAGTGTGTTTTTGTAGTTTTGTAGGTGTGGAATATGTTGTTGGAATGTATGATGTGCTTGTAATAATATGTTTCCCACTTATTATTATGCATTCTATTATATAATTATGATATCTTACCCTTACTATTTGAATGTTGCCTCTATGTGAGTAACGTACAAATACTTAGGAGTATTTCGGCATTGAAGTGAGTGGAAGATGGAGTCTTTCTTTTATTTTTGTTAGAGTCGGTGTCTGCTTGATGTGTAACACCAGTGAACGAAACGTTTATGTTATTTATGTTTGTGAGAGATTGTTTAGAATATCTAGAATTGTTATAAATATGTTTATTTTCTTTTGAAGCACAACCATTCTTTAAAATTATCAAACGGTTATGTGTTGATTGTTTTCCGTTGCTTAAATCAAAAGTTGGAGTTTCAAACATGTTTTGTTATACTTATTTTTAATAATTTCTGAAATAGTATGTGTTACATATCTGATTGAATGAGCCGGTTTTTGTTGAATTGTGACATCCTAAAGGTTATGTATTAATATTACTATGATAATTATTATAAAATACGCGGGAGATATTTAGAGTGTTACAATAGACGGACGGTTGGAGATATATATTTAAAATTCTTTTTAAAAAATGTTTTAAAATTGAGGTTTCATTTTTTTTATTCTTTAATCAACTTTATGACACTTTTAAGAAAGTGTTATAAACTAATAGATTATCATTTTTAATTACATTTTCCTATGATATTTTATTAAAAAATACTATATATTGTCTTCTATATTTTCTTAATAATATTATTTTTGAGTAGGAGAGAAATATGTATTTGTGGATGTTAGTTCTCTGGTTGTATGATTGACATTAATTTTTTTTGGAACAATGAAAAACTTGATATATTCAAAAAGAGAGAGAAAAAGTACAAGGCGATCGCAAATAATCCATCCCTCAAAGAGACGAAAAGAGAACAACTATTACATCATAAAATCAATAATGTGAGTTTTTAGCTTTTTGCTAAACCAGACCCGATATACAATCTTCTCAATGATGCAATCCACAATGTTCTTATGAGATACCATGTTCCCAAAACACTTCTCATTGCGATATCCTCAAACACCATAAATGGTTTCAATAGCAGCAAGTTTCATGAGGGCGCTCCTCCAACCTTTCCCTTTACAACTATTTTCAATCCAAGGGAGCTCCGTCTGCCAAGCCTATGAATAATGATTCACATTCAAGAAACTCAAGACATCTTTACATATTTTATGCAGATCCAAACACTCAAAAAGCAAATGGTTAAGGTTTTTATCCTGATGAGAAAAGCAACAAACAGTGTCAGATATCAAAGCAAACCGCTGCAGCCTATCCTTCGTAGCCAGCTTTTGTGGCAGGCAAACCGCAAAGTGATCAGCGCACGTGGCCTCGCAGAATTATTCAAAAACAAATGATTCCAAGAAGGTTCAATATTAGCTTCCATCAACTCATTATAAACTTCCTTCATTCTAAGTCTGCCTTGATTGATCATATTATCCCATGTGCTTTGAATGCTAGCAATGATATCCCTTTTGAGCAACACTTGCTTCATAATCCAAGTACCATTAGGATTGATCTCAACATCCATAATGTTCTTCTTCTTCATATAATACAAATGGATCCACCTAACCTAGAGATTATCTTTTTTATTGCAAAGATTCCAAAGCAATTTGAGCATGTCACTGTCAAATATGGCAGCAATATGTTAAATAGGATGAGTTAACTTGCTGAGAAAAACATATTGAAAAAGAAGACCTATGTTATGAAAAAAAAACATGTTAAGTTGATATGTTTTATCAACTGAAGCAAACATGTCGTCCAAGATGTCCTATATAGAGTCATTCGACATCATGGATGTATTGGGCTGGGTTGTTGGATCAGTTGAAGATTTAACAAGTGTAAAATATTCTGGAAATATTATGTTATCCTATGTGGTGTTGATTTTAAGGTTTGAAATATTCAAGTTGAATTCAAGAAGAATATTGACTTTCTAATTATTGAGACAAATTAAGAAGGTTATGATTGAAGACCTATTTTTATGCAGAAGTTTCTGCAGATTTGTAGCAGCTGATATGCTGGGATTTGAAGCTCAAATCCAATTGTGAAAAGGGTTATAAGTAAAAGTGTTTGTAACCTAAAAGTGTATGAGTCTAGAATGTAGAAGCATTAGGGTTTTATTTGTTTTCCACTCTCTAGGGAAGTTGGTATGTGTTATTTGTGAGCCTCTCTAATATCATGTTGATAGAAGAGTATGACTATTGTTATAGAGTTGTAATTCTCTATTGTGATAGGTGGGAATAGAACTGACTGTTTTGGAATGCTGGTTCGCGTTTGCGTTTGTTTTCGCAAAATGTCGCGGTAAGCAAGAGTCGCCACCGTCTTTTATTTTATCCAACAAGGAAAGGACAAAAGCACAGCAAAATTCCTTTTCGAGATGTTTCTCGGGTTCGGGAGGTAGATTATAGAAAGGGAAGGTGTTAGCACCCTTTCTATCCGTGGTTATCCACGGGCTCTTAGGTACTTGCTCACTATGTTTTCAAAAAGTTTTGCTTTTCTTATGTTTGTGGGTTTTGAAAAGAGTTTTGTTTGAAAACTTCGATTTAACTCTTGTTTCTGTCCTCAAGAGTGTATGAAGTGTTTTTGAAAATTTTGTTTGAAAAGTGTAAGTGTGACAAATTTGTTTTGTTTTGAAAGAGCAAATACTTAAGAACCTCTACCTACTCAAAAGGAATTAAACTGTGTAAATGTCCCTTTAGACAATGCTATCCCACTATTGAGGAGTAGGTAGCATCGTCGTCGGAGTTTTTGGGTCAATTCGATTAAGGGACATGTGGCCACTAAAGCAATGTTAGGACGCCTTAGCGGTAACCCTAATGTCTTAGATCATTTTTTATCGAGGCAACCGTTTCGAGGCAACTTTTATCTTTAGACAGGAGGGTGACCTCTAAAACTTCCTATACTCAATGACCACGTTCGAGGCAACCAAGTGAGGCGTACCCTAGGAGTGGCATGTGCAAGTGTGTCAGGTTTCAGTTATGTTATCTTTGTACATGTTATGGTGAGCTACGATTGATTTTAAGTTAAGATAGATCTTGTCATGCATAGCCTAGTTAGCATACATCTAGCAGTTAATAATTGCGGAAAATAAAACTAAACTATTACAAGGCGTCGGGTGTTTACATCGCCAAAAACAAACCCTTGAAAAGTAAATTGCGAAAAATAAATAAAAGCGGTAAAAAGTCCTGTTGTACCCCAAAATTTTCCCTCCTATTTCTCATTGATTTCTCATCACAAAGCCCTTGGAGATCAAGATCCAGTTATGGTTTCATCTGCTCAAGACTTCTCCTTGCACTGTTGACCCAAATTAGGGTTTGTGTTTGCACAAAGATGTTCTGACCTAAAATGCCTAAGATGACTTTCATGCTTCATATTGGACTCCCAAGTTTATCC